GAGTAAGAGTAACACCACTGACAAATATTGTACTACCAATATAGTGCCGCATCCAACGCAGATAACGCAAATGAAATGGAAAAGTAAAATACCGAAATTATTTTTGTTAATTACCGCAATTTGTGTTAACAGCTTTTGGCCGTGGCTTGAGGAAGACGAAGAAGTTGGTGGTAGTTTATTGCCGGTTGCCTACGCAACCTCGCATATGACCGTGACAGCTGGTGATACCATCGCACATAAATTCACCTTCGAAATGCGTGGCCAAAATCACTATCATGATGATGGTGGGTGCATAGGTAATCATATATATAGAACTGAGTAAATTTTGTACAAAAATTATAAAGTCATGTCTGGAAGATGTTGTCGTTCGAGGATAGGTCGTAGTACAGTAATTGCCAGTCAGGCTCAGGATAGATATGGAGCTGAGAGAGAAAGAGAATATTTAGTAGATCGTGAGACTCGCCGCAGCCAGAGAATCATCAGCACGAGTTACTAATTCATAAGTAAATAAAGAAAATTCTGCCATGAATTACGATCCTTCGCGTTCTTACAAGGTCGATCGTATAATATCAATAGGTACAATCGGTATCAGTAGTGTGTGAACAGACATTCTTTGGCAATGAAAATCAAGGACGAATCGAAAGGCATGTGTTACTTACAAGAAAAAATCAAATAAGACCTAAACCACTTCACTCTCTTCTTACGGGTGATCATCAGAAATGCAAAATATTCATGCGCAACATACACCGTTATAATAACGTATTTCAAATGACCTCTTTAAAGAGTAAGCAAGCCGTTGAGCATAGGTTGATGTCTACATTTAAAATTCAAATGAAATGTACCACTTAGCTGGGAGCTTGCTACCCTTTCGACCCGATGAGCACAAATTTCTGCAAATATGTTTTATTGAAGATCCAGATACACACGCATCTACGCGGTGTTTAAGTGTTGCAAAGCCAATTGATAGAGATTTGATTAGATCTCTCGAAGATATGTTATATTCTCATAACTGCTACATATAGTTTTTCGAAACTGCTATTGAGAGTGTTCTAGCAGATACTTCTGACTTTAGTGTCGTAATCCATGCAAATAAAGTTCCCGTTGGTGAACACAGAGAACGATACAAAGAGCGACAGCAATCTGGACAGCAATTTGACAAAAAAGATTTTGTATTGCATAGTCGTGATGATAATTTGCAAAAACATTCAGAGTAACACAGATCTTATGACAGCTTACAATATCCTTTGATGCTATGTCGTGGAGAAAATGGTTATGCCATTAATATTTCTCAAGTTGACCCAATCGGTGGTACACTTCTTCGTAAAACAGTGTCATGTAAGAACTACTATTGCTACCGTATAATGTCAATAGTTTGCTTAGATATGGAATGTTAACAAACCAATATTTGGTAGATGGTCTACATCCGTAATAATTAAACTAAAATGAGAGCCGAAAATTACGTTCATCTTCAGGATGCTTTACAGGCGAAAAAACACCGCAACGGTATTGGGCAGGTGGTTATACTACCTTCATCATTCACAGGTGGACCTCGATATTTACACAAAAAATCGGAATACGCCATTACTTACGTCAGAAATTACGGCAAACCTGATTTATTCATCACTGCAACATGAAACGCAAATTTGTCAGAAATCAAAGAAAATATTAACACCAATTTAACTTCACAAGACAGATACGATATCGTTAACAGAGTCTTCCATTTAAAAGTACAGAAGCTCCTGCACCTCATAAAAAGTCTCATATATTCGGTCTTCCGCGCTGTCATATGACAGAATAACAGAAATTTGACTTGCCACATGTACACCTGTTGGTGTGGTTAGTGATCAAAATTAGACCCAACCGAATTGACAAGGTTATTTCAGCTGAATTATCAGATAAAGATGAAGATCCAATCCTGTACGAAATCGATATCCCGATATCCATGTATATGAGATTCTAAATGCAGCAAAAAATGTCCGAAGTCGTTCCAAACACAAACTAGTACTAGCGATGACGGATATCCCAAATATCGTCGACGATCGCCAGAACAGGGTGAGCAAAATGCGACCGTCCGAAACCATGATATTGATAACCGATGGGTCGTTCCCTATAATCCGCTCCTTTTGAAAATTTTTGATGCCCACATCAACGTAGAGTTGTGCAATTCAATAAGTTACTAAGTGCGTTAATAAAAGCAGTGATCAAGCCACTTTCAGCATACAATCACCAAATGAAGTGGAAAAATATCAGTCTGGACGTTACGTCTGCAGCTCTGAAGCTATATGGAGGATTTTATCATTCGAAGTGCATGAACGGACTCTCCACCCTGCAGTTCATTTAGAAAATGGACAAAGGGTATATTCACTGGGAACAATATACAAGAAGTTGTTAATACCCGCGGAATACAACACTCACTGAGTTGTAAGTTACTACAAGTATAAATGGAACCAGAGTTCTAAAACTTTTCAACCGCGAAAACAAGGTACTACGGTTGATGGTTTCTCCAGAGTAAAAAACACGGATGCTCTTAGCAGAGTCTACGTGATTCATCCCAACAACAGCGAATACTATCTTCTGAGAATATTACTGCATATTGTAAAAGGACTTATCAAGCAGCATGCAAAGCTATGGGGCTCTTGGAAGACCATTCTCACTGGGAAAACACATTATCAGAAGCTGCTGTTTGTAGTTCAGCTACAGCATTAAGATATTTATTTGCTGTCATAGTAGCGTTTTGTCAAGTATCTGATTCTGTTAATCTATGGAATAAATTTCAAGAACATATGGCCAGTAATATTCTGATTAAGCGATTTTGGGCTGCTGATGCCAGCTGTTACTACTAACTCAGATTTAACGGACAGCGCCGAATACACAAAAGAAACATCAAACAATGGCTTTCAAAATATAGCTGAAGATGAGCCACGATTAAACATCGATCAGAAAAAAGTATTCACTGCATTACTATCAATAATTGGTAACAATGAAGGGAAATTGTTTTTCCTTGATGCACCAGGAGGTAAAGGAAAAACATTTTTAATCAATCTGCTTTTAAAATTAGTGAGATCTACCGGAAAAATTGCATAAGTCATCCGGCATTGCCGCTACCTCTTTAGAAGAAGGCCAAACCGCACACTAGACATTCAAGCTCCCGCTGAAAATCGTCACCGATGATAATAACAGCGTCTGTAGTGTTTCTAAACAGAGTTATTTTATTAAGAAACCTGAATCCACCAAAACTTTGCAATGGCACGCGTTTGCTGGTAAAATCACTGAAAACGTTCCTAATCGAGTGCACAATACTCATCCTGACTACCGGAGAAGATGTTTTGATTCTCCGGATCACTCTGATACCATCGGATTTACTCTTCCAATTTAAACGTTTACAGTTACCGGTAAAGACATCTTTTATAATGACCATTAATAGGTCGCAGGGACAAACCTTCAACGTTGCAGGCTTAGATTTGAGCGTTGTCTATTATTCACATGGCCAACTGTATGTCGCTCTTTTAAGAGTTACATCTAGAGAAAACATGTTTGTAAAAATGTAGTGAACGAATTTAGATATTTCAAAGATAGCAGGAAATCTTAATAATATAGGGAAAAGGAAATTGTTTTATTCCAAATTTAACGCGTGCGGACCAGGAGCAGTAATGAATAAATCAAAACTACTGGATCGATTTTAATAATTTTTTCGGTGAGTGACATAGGCTAAATCTTTTATACCCCTGCGAAGCCGGAGCTAGCCGCTATGTTTTTATATATAACGTTTACAGTTTTTCTGTAATGTATTTAGTATCAGCATTGCCGAAGCCGGGGCGGACCACTAGTTAAATCATAAATAGAAAAAATTTTAATTTCCTTAAAAATGAGTGTGTTTGTTTGTAAATCATATCACTCCTAGTAGGAAACTCTGTATTTAAATTTATAGATACAGAGTTTATAGTTATATATTTTAAAGAAGACAATAAGCTTTAATTTCATGTATTCCCCAAACTATGTATGCATAGGCAACATAAACAAAATTTTGTATTTATAATAAGCATATTTCTCATCGATAACTATAGTTTAAATGTTTTTGTACACGATTTGCATTCAGCAAAAGCGCCACACTTTCCACGATTGCAATATGACAAACGATTATGCCACTTGAGGTGTCAGCACTTGGTGCTCTCGGGTAACGGGCTTTTTCTGCTTTTAATAATCGTGCCATGCTCAAAGCTGCAAAATCACCAGCAGTTGTCAGAATGTCAGCTACACCTGCGATTGTCTAACAACATAGGCAATGCATTTGAATACGGGTAACTGCAGACGATGTTTGGAGAATCAGGACAGTCAGACAGACCTGAAAGCAGCCAGATACGCATGTATTTAGATAGGCCACGCAAGTGGGAATTATAGATTTCTATGTGCAGCATTTTACAGCCAGTTTCCTTTTTACAATTGCCTTTCTGGTGCCCATGGTTGCTTAGATGTTGAGGTGTCTTGGTTGTCAGCAAGCTTAGGTTTAAGCAACATCCTACTGTCAATGCAAGCTGGCGTACAAACACAAATGTTGCCAATATTTTAACGTTCACGGAATTTTTAAATTGCATCGAGCAAAACTAAATCTTTGCTAGGAAAACACAGGCATTTTTGATTATTTATCTTCAATTTCTGTGCTGGCTTCATTACACTCTTCTTTACGTCTCTTTTCATTAAGATAACTGGCCTTATTCTGTCCTCACATTTTACCATCGCACGATTTTTTACATGCAACATATACATATGTATATGATTAGCTTTTCGCCCAATATGTATGAACTCTCTTAAGCTCTTATACTATTTTCCAAGATTTCAAGCTTTGCTTGTCTTAAATATTTCTAGAGAATTTCTTAAGTGCTTTTGATCGTTTTATTTAATCTAGCAAACAGTTCTGTGGAATTTTTAATGCAATAAATGGCATCTTTCGAGATACATTTACGAAATTAGAATTGGCAGGAAATGCCTATGATATTAAGAAGTTTCATTAAATATATGAATTTATTTTTGATGTATAAATATATAATAATATAAATCGAGATATATATAGGTTGATTCAAAAGTGAGTAGTGCTCATCAAGAAATATCACTACTAGCTACAAATTTTTTTCTTCTCAATTTGGTCGTGAGAACACATGCAAAGTTAAAAGTCATTCTGTCAATTAATTTTTTCTTTACAAGCCATTTGAAGTTGACGTGCCAAATTCTTTTTTTAGATTCTTTGTTTTGATTAGATTCTTTGTTTTGTAAGGTTTAAAAACCTGAATTTATGAACAATTTTTAGAAGTGTATAAGGAGTCCTCAGCAGCAAAAGGCAGCGGTGAATTTAAACGTGGCGGTACTAGGCTTGAAGGCGATCCACGCGAAGGACGACCAAAAACCGCAACCACACCAGAAATCATTGCGCAAGTTCATAATATTGTTAGTGAAGAGGCATCTCAGATGAACAAAACTGGATCGAAAACAAAATTCTCAGCCTAATTTGGAGTAGCACAAAAAAAATAAGTTTTCATCAAGACAATGGCTTGAGCATCCACCGTATACACCAGATTTGGCTCCCAGCGCCTAATACCTTTTCAGCAACCTGAAACAATTCCTTCGTGGAAAGCGCTTTTCGTCGAATGAAGAAGCTATTAAAGCCGTAGACGAATATTTTGCAGAGCTACCGGAAAATTATTACAGGGATGACATAAAATGATTAGAAGATCATTGTAATAGGTATTTTGAAGTTAAGCCAGATAATATTGTATAAAAAAATATATTTCTTACCAAAAACAGTATTTTTTCATTTCGAACGCAGAAAATTTTCTCCAACTTATATATACGATATATTTCATATCCAGGCATTGACGAAGATACTTGTATTAAAAGATATTTTATCAATTTTGTTCCACTCCTCCTGTAGAATTGCTTTTAGGTCAGTTCGAATTTCTCTTTTTCTGTATTTTTGCTCTAACTTATTTCACAAGTGCTCAATGAGGTTGAGATCAGCGGGTCGTTAACTTGATAAAAGTAAAAAAGGCACGCACGCAATGTGAATTTGAAATTTTAAGCTTCTCTAGTCATCAGCCTAACTTTTTTAAAGCGATCAATAACATATGGAATAGTGTATCGGCTTCTGAACAAGATTTTAGATATTTCTGCTTCAGATTTTCTGAAAGAGAATTTAAAGACGTTAGTGGATTGTCAATAAATAAAAATAGCTTTAATTTCATTTAATATAAAGCTAACATATCTATGAAGTATCATTCTCGGAAGATATTAAATTAGTTTAGGTCCAGCCATGTACCCAGGGGATCGCACTTTGACTTCGACAAAGCGCCTTGAGCCCATTACAAATCTGCATAGGCGTTTCATAACTTTAATATAATTCCTATTCTTACCAGCTCAACTGAAATTCTAAAGGTCTTAAGATTCTCCAACTGTCATTCGGTAAGAATTTTAACCATACTACATGAACACCAGTACTAGGCCAATAACCAGTTAGAACCCTTGCAATTGAATAAATCCTAAACTTTACATTTACATTTGGGCAATAGGACTGTACCACCGCACAGGTCGCGATAGTTGCTCAGCACATACCAAGCTCCCGCCAGGCTCAGCTATTAAATAGTGGAAAACTCTGAAATAGTCAGTCCGAATAGAAAGTCCGAAACTGGTTCTGGTGGATAGTTCACAACATTAGACTTATACACAAACCGTGGAAGCGAGAGCCGTGAAATATAAAGAAATTATTTATATTTTTGATTGTCTTTTTCAATTAGAAACAACATACTTTTTTTGAATCTTCGAAATTTGACTTACAAGTATATGTGCGTTGGTTTCGTACTTTTGGATTACAAATACATACAAGTATATATGACTCCGCCAATGTTTAGCTTTTTATATTGACACCACGGCCGTATTGCGTGCTATAGTAACCCTTTTGTTTCATTTAAGTTCAATTATTCGTTCGTCGTTGTGCCCACGTTTAGATTTACGAGTATAGGCAGATAACAGGTTTAGCTCTACATTCAAGGATTTGTTAATTGCGTTCCTTCATGTAACTCAACAGGCTGAACTGTGCTTCGTCAGAACACGCTTCGAATGGTTAATCTGACTGGTACCATTCGGTAGGAAAATAAGGGAAATTATTTTGATGAATATGGTTCACAGTTCAATGAAATTTTGTATAATTTCTCAATAATATGCTGTACGAAGAAATTTAAAATAAGTATCAACGAAAGGATATATATTAGGTTTTACACAATTATTTATTCTCAAATTATGTTTATTTGGTCGTCAGTTTTCTTCAACTCAAGCTGTAACTTGAGTAAAAATTGAGATATCTTTATGAAACTTGGTAGACATGTTTCTTGGTACCGTAAGACGGTTGGTATTGCAGATGGGCGTAATCGGACCACTGCCACGCACACAAAAACAAATAAATTGCCACAACTAAGCTCCGCAATAAGATACAAGACTGTTATTTGATACACAGGATCACATTAGGGAGGGGCATCTGCAGTTAAAATTGTTTTTTAAAGTGGGCGTGGTCCCGCCTCTAATAAGTTTAATGTGCATATCTCCTAAGCCGCTAATGCTATAATAACAAAATTCACTGGAAGCAAATGTTTTTAGCACTTCTATTGACGGTGCGAAAATAGTTAAAATCGGGTGGCAACTGCGCTCACTCCCCATATAACGGTACTGTTAAAACCTACTAAAAGCGCGATAAATCAAGCACCAAACACGCCAGAGACATTAAATTTTATCTCTGGGATGGTATGAGATGACTTTATAGGAACCGCGTTCAAAATTAGACAGTGGGCGTGGCACAGCCCACTTTTAGGTGAAAACCCATATCTCGAGATCTGCTTAACCGATTTCAACCAAATTTGGTACATAACGTTATTTTCATATTTCTATGTTATAACGAAATCGGACTACAACCACGCCTATTTCCCATATAACACCATTTTAAATTCCATCTGATTCTTTCACTTTCCACTATGCATATCAAGCAACAATGATTATATCGGGGTAAAACTTTGCGTGAATAATACGTTTAAAGTATGCCACCTTGTGACCAAAAATTGTCTAAATCGAACCAAAACTGTTCAAGCCCTTAAGTACTGAATATGTGGACCCCAGTGCCTATAGTTGACCTTCTACCGAAAATATCAGTCAATCCACAAAGAAATCTCAAGCGAGTATACCATTTGACTTTGCGAGAGTATAAAATGTTCGGTTACATCCGAACTTAGCACTTCCTTACTTGTTTAATATAACAATCATAAAAAATCGATAGGAACTACCTTGAGCTTGCATTAAACATCGCCAGCCAAGCAATAAATTACAGGATATTACAAATACTTCAAGGGATTTTTGCTTATGATTTATCCAAACACATATTCACCTGAAAGTGGGCTAAATATTAATAATTTTACTGCTCTTTCCATTAAGTAGCACGTAGGCGATTTTTGAGAATTAGATATAGTTATTCATAAAATTTATTATTTTTCAAGTTATATGCGATCTTTGGGGATCGTTTTGAACTTAAAAATTTTATTTAGGAATTTCAAATTCCAGTATAGCTTGAAAAACTATTCAAGAATGTATATTTTAATTATCATCGTAATCAGATAATGTGATCGTTTTATAAATCTTTGATACATTGAATATATATAATATCTACAATATATTGAGTTTATTGGGTTATTAGAAAGTTTGCATGGAATATGTATATTGCCCACAAAAGATTTATTTATGTTCAATTTTTTTCTAGTACTAAAACTTTGGTTCTATTTATTTCTGTTTTTCTTTTAACAGAAATTTATCTAGTACATATTCACATGGGGAACCTATTTCCACTTAACGAGTAGCCACATTTCTGCAACATATTTGTTCACTTTTCCACCACTTTTTGCTTTTCATTGAATAGATTTCTAACTGCCAGTTGAAAGGTTGTCGAACAGACGTATTAATCGCCCAGTATGGTTGTCGATTGTGTTTTGGTATTTATTTTAGTTTTTTCACTTTATTGGCAACAAATTTGTAAACGTTAGTCTTTAACACGAGACCTGGGAATTTTGGTTGCATATTCATTCTGAAGAAGAGTCTGTTTGTCTTTTATGCATAAATATTTTGGTGGGTATTGATATAAAATTACAATTATGAATGTATGATGCTACCATTATTCTTGTATATATGTATATGAACATATAATGAACTAATTTTTGCTTGTAAAGCCTTTGAAAAACATATTTTTTTTTTTAGCTTACCTTGTGAACCCCAAATTACATCCAATATACTCTGTGATACAAAATCTGCTAGCCAGGTTTCACCTTCAGTGGATTCTTCAAGCGCCTTCTTTTCTAATCATAACTCACAGGCTTATGCAGGTTGCTTGGCGTATCTCCTTCAAGGATTACATATGTTGTTTAGGCGACGCGAATTTCTACGAACATTACTTAATATAGCGTAGAAACCGAAATATTCCGCATTGCAGTGGTAGGATCTCAAATTTTGAAAACTTCAGATAATGTAATAATGTTCTATAATTATTTTTCTACAGCACTAGATGAAGGCTTTTATTAATATATGAATATTTACATAAAACGAGTTGGAACAAAAGGAATATGCAGAAAGTTCTACTAAAATATGTTTAGTTAGGCGTGATTCGGCAATTTATTTTAAATCTAGATATACGCAACTATATTTGCAATAACAATATGTACTGTTTGTATATAAAATATATGTTTATTTTTGTACATAATCGCTATTAGAAAAAGGAATTAAATAATAAATTTTTCGCACATATTTGAGTTTCATTGGTATATCAAAAAATCTTTCAGCGCAAACATTATTCCGGATGTTCTGACTTCTGGTAATTTGCATAAATAACATAATTACTTCTACTGCTCCACTTAGAACACTTAAATCTTTGCTAAAAGCTCGAAGGCTTGAAAAGCTTACGCTCTAACGGGCATAAGAGTTAAGTTTCAAGTAGCTTTCCATATATGGTTAGTAAGTTATGCCGTCAGTACTTTTAAAATATTTCACTACTTCAGTTTATATAAGACTACCTCAATCACACATAAATATGTAAATAATAAATAGCTCGGTCGCATGCTAAGGAAAACCAGACTGCTTTCTAATCTTTGAATTGTGTCTCAATTAGAAATCATTTTATTTACTTCATTGAAGTTTACAATTATTGAAGGAAGCTACGACTAAGAAGAGTCTCATTGCAATCGAACATTGATGAAAGCTCTTGACTGTTACTGAAAAGCGATTTGTGGGTATTAAGGGGGGTAGGGTTTTTACTTTCGAAAAATCTATTTTTTTTTTGTCTCTTGTCGTATTGTTTAACATTTCAAGAATATGTCCTTAAAATTTTAAGTCGATAGAAGCAATATTATTAAAGTTATTATCTTATTTATCTCCTGGCCTTTAACGCCAAAACTACTTTTTCAAGGTCCGTGTTCACTGTCAAACTACTTGACCGATTCATTTCAAACTTTATACACATTTTCGACACATAAAATACTGCCCCCCTAAGTTTAGTAAAAACTTGTTTTTTTAAATTAAAGGTGTTTTCCACCCCCAAAATGGCGAAATGTTTAGTGGAAAATAACAGTTTACACTTTAAATAGACGCCAAAAATTTGTAAATGAAAAAAAAAATTATCAGAGAACGTAGGAGGGAAGATTTGATCACAATTTAACTAATTTTTCTTGGTGTGTTTTTTAGATAGTTTCCAGCCGAATTATGGTGAACACCGCAAATTGTTTTTTTCTCAAGACGTTCAGGGGAAAGCTCTGTTACCGGCTTACGCTTCAATATTCCTTCATGAAAAAATTACCCTATATTTTCGAAATGTTCAATAATGTACAAAAGGTCCGAATAAAATTACTCGATCCATATTTAAGAAAAAAATTATGTTTTTTACCTTGAAACCGTACCCCTCCCTTCAGGTCTAAAGGCTTTACTTCAACTTGTACCGAATTTCCTTCAATCGTCAAAGAGGGTATATGTGTGCCGCCACTGTGCTTTTTTTGCATTCTTTCCAGTACCTTTAATGACCGCTAAAGTAGCAATGTCATGTAAGGCAATACTTCTATTGCACTTTAAATAATTCACGAAGGGAGAAACCGATTGCTCTGAAACGACAGAATTTTCATTGAGATGAATTGTATATATTTTCTTTTAGTGGCATCTAAAGACTTAATCCTTTACCCACCAATTTATAATAAATATATATAGAAACTCAAACATATAATTGTGAATATTTGAGTCTTGCTCAGCCGTTAATACTCTAGTTTTAACAAGAAATGACGGATAGGTGAAAAAAGAGCGTTTGTTTTTAAGAAAGGTCATTAAGATTCACATCAGAAGAAGATGAGGGTCTGAGTGTCACCCAGCTACTTGTTTACTTCTGTAAGTTAAAGGTTTAAAATAATAGAACGAATTCCGTACTTACGAAGGTCCATATATGTATCATCGAAAATCGCTTTACTGTTTTTATATTTTCTCCATTAAGATCTCTACACTTTTCCATGCCTTTGAACCAATTTTCGAAACACTTTTGCCACTTTGATTGAGGTATCTCCATAACATGCATTCTGAACTCATCAACCGCCTCTTTAGGTGTCGAGAAACGTTGACTTCTTAGTTTATATACAGATTTTTTAAAAGATAATTGGCAAATTAGGTGTAGTAAAAAGAAATAAATAAATATTTTTCAAATAGATGGCGTTATTTATCTGTATCTCGCGTTGTGTAAGTCCGATCGGATTCAGCTACATGG